ATCTCCCCAAAACCCCAAAACCCCAAAACCCCAAAACCCCTTAATTCCAAACTTCTATAGTATAAGATAGTATTAAACTCTAAATAAATTAAAATATAATTTTATGTTTTTTAAATTGAATACTCAGCTGTTTCAAATTATTGAACTTGTTGAAGAGTAAGCTTCCATTATATCGCAAGTAACAACTTCATAAAATGAACTGGATCCATCTTAAAGTTAAGTGTTAAATATCTGATAAACCAAATTATTTCTTTCTTTATCCCAAATATCAATTTTCGTTGTTTCCATTTTATAACCGCAGGAAAGATCAACAGTCATATCTAAACCTATACTACCAGCATTGATTTTTAAATCATCATTTTCAACATAGAATTCATATATTAAATTGGTATTACTGAACTCTTGATGTCCTGTAACATCAAGGAATGATATCCCTGAAATTTCAGTAGAAGGCTCAAATATCTAGATGTAAATTGCAAAAATTTTCCCGACAGCTTGATTTGTATTCTATCTTTTTATGATGAAAAAAATATCATTTCCCTCGCATTCATTTCTAATTTATTAAGAAGATGGTCTATTTTCTGGAATGGACTCAATGCATTTTTTGAAATCTGTGAATAAATACCCATCCTTGAATGTAGATAAGTAATTTAATTTACTTTAACTCAGTATCTTCGAATTTATGACAGTTGATTCCTCGGTTGGGGCCTATGAAGGAGTGTTAAAAGTTGATTCACTTACTATTGTAGGAGCATTGGAAGGAACTACTGTTGGTTCAACTAAACTAGTTTGTGGTTGTGCTGATACAGATGTTTAGGTTGGAGATTCAGTTGGGCCATTGGTAGGGACAGAAGTTGGGGCTACTGTAGGTGCGTTAGTGTATGTATTGCTTGGTGGAACTTCATTTGTAGAAACTTGAGTATGAGGTACACTAGTCGGAGCAACAGTACTTTATTCAACAGTAGATGGAGCAGCTGTTGTGCTAAGATCAGTTGGCTGATTGCTTACTATAGATGTTATAGGTAAATACTCAGTAGGTATTGAAGTTGCTATAGTAGTTATGTATTCTGGATCTGATCCTTGTGTGGCACTAGATGATGAGAGACTTAGTAATCCTTAAGAGTTAACAATGGCTACGGAGATTTCATTGAAGGCTGAGATACTCTTGCCTTTAGCACCTTCAATTATATACCACTTTTACTCAATAGTTTGCCACTTAACTATGAGGTAATCAGTAACATTTTCCTCACAGAGTAATCCCCATAATGAGCCGTCGATACCAGCTGATATACTTATCAAGCACAAGGAATTATAAGTCTAGTTAACTCTATTATCTTTCCCAAGGAAAATAGGTTCGTCTTTGTATAGAGTAAGACCCTTGTAGCCCCCTAGAGCCTTATACTAGTAATTAGTTGATGGTACATTATGATAGTTACTGTCTATAGTATCTACTTATAAGGTATTGTTAATACTGTTGTCATGCAGAGCAATAATTTTCTTATCAACAGTCACCTCAAAATCACTTACACCGCAAAAGATATTTTATTTTTCAGGCCCTAGTACACAGTTTTCTGGGCTAAGGTAGTAGGGAGTGCCTAGCCTGTCGAATCTAATGGCCTTTGCCTAGAATTTCTAGTCAATAATGTTCCATACATTGTTTGTGGTGTTGTACATATACAAAAAGTACTTAGGCTTTGTAAATTCTGAAGTAATGTTCTAGATTGCATAAACATCACCATCTGGAGAAGTTTGGACATCAATAAATGCATTCACCACAGACCACTTTAATTCTTGAGTTTAATTCCAGTTAAATTTGTTAGTTGCTTCTTATTTCCAAGCAGATTAAGCTCTGTTTTTTAGAATCTTGCTCACTTATATTGATTGGGTTATTGCAATAAAGATTGATACAATGGCGCCAAAAATTATTTTTCTCATTTAATTGATTATTAATTATTGTGATGCCTTGATATTCATAGTCAAGTGAACCAATGACCTTAAAATCTTAGTATCCTAATTATTTCAAAGAGTTTGTTTACTGCTTAATTAACTAATGAGTTGAGTTTATTCTCATTATTATTTTTCTAATATAGGTTGCTATATTTTTTTTAGAACTATCATAGTGATCAAGAAATTTTATCAACTTTTCAAAGCTTGAGATATCCATTCTTGATTTAATTATTCACTTGAAATCCCTAAATATAATTTTCGATTAAATTATTCTATAATAGTTTTCACCTTAATTTAATTACATAGTAAATACTTTATCACTACTCTAACTCTTTAATTCGAAGACAAAGGGGTTTTGGGGTTTTGGGGTTTTGGGG